TTTCTCAACCTCTTCGACTAACACGAGTTATACTAACGAATCTAGACAAGTTATATTTATGTTTGTATGTTTGTTCCTGCAGGAAAAACTGATTGTTGGTTCGATTTCAATCCCCTATTTTTAGAGAGACTCAAATCTTTTTTTCAGTTTGGGAATCAACCATAGTACATGAAACTTAGAGGTAGGTAAACTGCAATTTATGAAATAGCGGAGGCACAACGATTACAGTCACATCAAAAGTAACAAATGGCATGTCGCAAACTAAACCTAGCATGCCTTAGGGGATTGAAAGAAACAAGTGATACAGACATTGCAAAGGGTACACACTCACATAAAAACTAACAAGGGCATGTTGCAAACTAAACCTAGCATGCCTTACGAGATTGAAAAGAACAACTCATACAAGCATTCCACATTCGGATTGACTAACAAATGTTGGTCCTAATAATCCTCCCACATATTGAACTGAGTTGCGCCTTCCCCATAGTATCCTCCAGTTGACGGAGGCGGTGGTGGTGGCGGTGGCGGTGGAGAAGGAGGTCCGTCCTTCTTATGGTACGGGCACTCGCAGTACGGATTATTGCATAGTGCCTCCTCTGCATCATTGTTGTTGTCATCGTCCGACTTGTCCCTGTTACCACTTCCAGGGCCATACTCTAGGTCAAAGATGCATCCCTGTAGATATGTGATGTACTGTTGATGGGGATAGATAGGAGGAGGGTCGACCCATCTAGTGAAGCCACAGTTATCTGGACAGCTTGAATCCTGAAAACCCATCTACCAATAAGTACTAGTATAAACCAAATGCAAATCTAAAAAAGGAGAGAGTTCAAAGGCAATACAAATCCTCGCGGGCATCTGAAGAAACGACGGCCTCCACCGTCACAGTCGTTGTACATCTGCACAACGCAATCCAAACCGTGGCGGCATTTTGGCCAATCTTCAATGCGCTTCTCGTATGATCTAAGAGGTCTCTCACGGGTGAAGTCACTCTTCCTCTCCAAAGGAAATTCCTCTATTGGTTCTTGAAAAGAATCAGGACCCAGAGAACCCTCCCACACAATTGGAGGTCCCTTCCTCACCCCCTTTCCTCTCCCTCCACCGAAACCCTTTCCACTCGAGGAACCTCCGCTCGACATTTGCTAAAACTAAACCAGAAAACAATTTGTGTGGATGTGGAGCAAGACATGGAGCACTATATATAGAGATGAAGGCAGGTTCACCATGAATGCTACTTGACAAAAAACATGTGTGCGTACTCATTTATTGAATCTACAAAGGCTAGATGCTTCATCTGAAAAGCCTACAACCATGACTGGTCATTTCATCTGAAAAGGCTACACCTGTGTTTTGTCACTTCATCTAAATGCAGTACATCACTCTGATATTAATTCATTGCATATACGGATACAACAGTAAACGAATCTAGGCTTTTCAATGAGTTTTCAAATAGACTTGTAGCCCTTTCGGTGGATCGCAATGAAGACTGTAGCCCTTTCAAAGGATCGCAACAACACAAGTAGTCTTTTTTCAAAGGATACAAACAAGTACCACTACAGGTCTTAGGATAGTTAACGAAGTACAGGGCATAAGACCATCCGAAATAAAATCATAGTGCATTACAACATAATAAAAAAGTCCAGGGAATAAGTTCATCCGAAATAAAAGCGAGTGCATTACAACATAGTAAAAAAAGTCCGTGGCTACACGACATCGCTCGTGAATGAACCAAATACCTCATCGAGTGCAACGAGGCCACTTTCCCTTCCTCTCGGCATCGAATTCTCCTCCATCGCTTTCGCCTTCGCTCGGCGCACGCTCAAGCTTCTTCTCCTCTCCGCCTACAGCACGCAAGCAACACGCCTCCTTTCCTCCTCTTCCTTATGCTCCTTTTCTATAGCCTCCAGTCTGCGTCTCTGCTCAAACCTCTCCTTAACCTCCGCATCCCACTCCTTCAGGCCTTCTAGACGCTGCTTGTCCGACTCCTTGATCTCAGTGTCAATCCACTGCTCAAAGTCACACAGTGGTGGAACGGTCTGCAAGAAAAACAAATTGTTACAAAACAAATAAATAAGCAATACTTAATATCACAAGAAAATTAATTAACACAATAAAAATTCCTCACAAACGATGCACGACGCTGTTGCTTTGTAGGTTCCCATGCATAATTGGGACACATCCAGTACCTCTGTCTATATGTTTCCTCATCTTCAGAGATGTCTACCTTGCAAGGATCACCACAAAAGCACATTGGTCGAGGAACACCTTCAGGGAGAGGCTTTAGGTCGTAGGGATTTGCCCTCTGGCGACCATAGCTACAATTGAAAGAATTTAGTCATATTAACGGAGAACCAAACCTAAACCTAGGATTTTCTATTTGTTGCACAGATAATGAATAAACATTGGGATTACCTTGGAATACGAGCTTTACCACGCCTTGGCATCCTAACATTACATAGAAAAAAAATCAATCCAAAGTACCTTGCAACGAATGTAAAGGTACTAACACTACATCACCATACCTCCCAAATAAGCTTTTCATTACAAACCCTAAACAAATTTGAATCCCAACAAACACAAAATTTAACTCAATGATTATAAACCATAACATATACAACAACAACACCAACAACCATACATTTGGGTCATTCAATCATTTGAACCACCATACATTGCACGAATGACATGAACATGAACCAAACCTATAATGCCAAGTTCAAAAACAAACGAATCTAAATGAATGAATTGAAAGAGGGGAAAGAGGAGTACCTTGGCAAAACGCCTTGATCATAACAAATTGAAATGTAATGACCAATAAATAAATAAAATACATAGTAACCCTAATGATCAACAAATAACTAACCCTAATGACACCTATAATAAACAAATAACCCTAATGACCAAAATAACTAGAAACAAAACTAACCTAACATGTTCATCACATAAAACAGTTAAACAACAATGCACTCAATGATCCTAAGCCATACATTTTGCAAATACAAACACAAATATACCAAATCACCAAACAACCATGATTCCAAAAGATTAGGGACAATGTAAGCACATCTACGCGGATAGAATGGAGGAGGGGAGGGACCATTACCTCGAGGAAGCTTCGGGAGACAAGATCCGGGCACCGGGGGTCGATTTTGGAGGTTAGAGTTTCGTGGGGGCCGTGGGGGATTTGGGAGCCGTGGGGGAATGGAGGAGGGGAGGGAACAAGAAGAAGGGGCCTCGGCGCGGCCTAAAGGGTCCAGACCTCGGCGTTGAGTCGGGTCACGCCGAGGTCTCTGGGGCTCGGCGTTAAGTGACCCAACGCCGAGCTGGCCACCACCGTGCTTTGTTGGGCCGCTGGGCAGCGCTCCGGATGGGGCGAGCTCGGCGCTCGGTCTCAAACGCTTGCCGAGGTTGGGTACTTGGCGACGGGCGACACGACGCCGACGTCTCGGACCCACGCGCCAACGTGTCGACGACGACCCCGGTCTTCCGTGACGTGGCAGTACCTCGGCGTCGAGTGACACGACGCCGAGCTTCATATCTCGGCGTCATGTGCTAAGACGCCTAAAAATGATCTATTTTCAGAAAATATTTTGGCGTTGGTATTTTTCTAAAAATTGTTTTCAAAAGAGACCAAAATACGAAAATTTCACTCAAGGCGCTGGCGGGATTGCTTATACTAGGAGTGAGTATCATGCTAGAGCTAGCTTTTTATTCCCTGCTGGCTTCAAGCTTTATTTCCTTTGACTTCCTTCTCTTTGCATTGTGGTGCTTTTCTTTGTGGTTTGCGTGAACCCCGGGCCTCTGCCTCTGCTGTCTGTGTGAGCTGTGAATCTAGGTGCTCGATCGGCAGCTTTTTCCCTCTCTTTTCTAATCATCATCCCAACTCACACTTTTAACTTGTGTGTATATGTATATGTATATGTATATGTATATGTACATGTACATGTACATGTATATGTATATGTATATGTATATGTATATGTATATGTACATGTACATGTACATGCATGACATGCATCATGAACTACAATATAATAATGTTTTTTCCATGTTTTCTGCCTTGGATGCTTTAAACTTTGCATGCCGTTATATGCCTTTACTCTTTAATATGAAATTGATGGACTTAAAAAAAATGTAAGAAACATCAGCATGCAGCGCCCGTGATGGTTTCCTTTTATTTCTTATTTATGATTTTCTCTTTTGAATGGTGAATTGAACTGTTTAACAGACATCATATATCTGCTCCGAAGAGAAAATTAAACAGGAACATACATGAGTTGTGAAATTACTTCAGACGGAAAGGGAGCCGCCCTACCTGCATTTAGGGGATTGATTTCTTAATCACTAAGGCAGCCGGGACCAGGATCTGGAGTTAAGAACGAAGTAATGGCCCCCTGCACCGGCAGGCTTCCTTTCGTATTGCTTGATTGATGGGAGTGCATGCCTTGGTGAGTAGTAAATAAAGTAGATTGGTCCAAGTTTTCTTTTGGAATGCATGCATGGAGAAGCTTTTCCAGCTGGACAAATAAAGCAACCTTCACTGTATTGAGGTATGCTATAGTACTATATTGTACATGTGCACGCAGTATGTAGGTAACCATGAACAAGATTATTGTACTCTAGCTAGTACTAGTGTACTAGGCATGCATGGCAATTGGCCTCGTTCACTCGACTGAAATTAGCTGAAAAATAAGTTAGAGTTAAAATGTTGTGAAAGAAAAATAATAATCTGGCTAAAAAAATGGTTTTTAAGGTACGGGCCCAATATGGCACGTTGATTAATCAACACAAACACAACATTTGACGATAAAGGACTTGTTGCGTACCATAGTAGAAATTACGTACGTACTAAACAGAGAGAAAATTTGATTGACGTAGTGAGTGAGTGATCCATGCCATGCCATGCCATTGCCAATCCGTGCTGCCTGCCTAGTGCCTACTGCCTAGGCTAGTAAATAGCTAGCTACGTGTTCTATCCAGTACTATATGTTTATATCCATCTAGCTAGGCGTAGTACCGCTGCTTGCCGCCGCCGCCGCCGCCGCTTCTGCGAGGTATGCCAGCGTCATGGCCGCGTCGCTCATGAGCGGGCGAGCGGATGCCTCTTCCTGCAGGCACATGGCGGCCACGGCCACGGCCTGCTTCAGGTCCCTCTCCGGGAAGTCCCCCCGCAGGAGCGGGTCGGCCAGCTCGCGGTACCTCTTGCTGTCCCGGAGCATGGGCATGGCCCAGGCCACCAGCAGCTGCTCCGCGGCGGGCCTGGTGGAGTCCACGGCGCGCCGCCCGGTGACGAGCTCCAGCAGCAGCACGCCGAAGCTGTACACGTCGGTCTTGACGGTGAGGGTGCCGGCGCGCACGTACTCGGGGGCGCAGTAGCCGTAGGTGCCCATCACGCGCGGGGAGCGGTCGCCGACGGGGCCCAGCTTGGCGAGCCCGAAGTCGGAGAGCTTGGGGCAGAGGGCGTCGTCGAGGAGGACGTTGGAGGACTTGAGGTCGCGGTAGATCACGGGCGGGTTGGCCGTCTCGTGCAGGTACTCCAGCCCCCGGGCGGCGCCCAGCGCGACGCGCATGCGCGTCTCCCAGCTCAGCGCGCGCTGCTCCGCCTGCCGCTCGGGGGCGTTGCCGTTGCCGTTGCCCCTGCTGTCCAGCAGCAGGTGGTCCGCCAGCGACCCCAGCGCCATGTACTCGTACACCAGCAGCCGCTGCTCGCCGTCGGCGCAGTAGCCCACCAGGTTCACCAGGTTGGGGTGGTGCAGGAGGCTCAGCATCAGCACCTCCACCACGAACTCGCGGTTGCCCTGCGCTCCCTCGCGGTCCAGCTGCTTCACCGCCACCACCTGCCCGCTCTCCAGCCGGCCCCGGTACACGCGCCCGAAACCGCCCTCCCCCAGCAGGCACTCCGCCCGGAAGTTGTCCGTCGCCGCCGCGAGCTCGCCGTAAGTGAACGCGCGCGCTCTGCTGTCGACGTTGCTGCTCGACGCCGCCGCCGCCGCCGCCGCTGGGTTATTACCGGCCGCTTGGTTACGCTTGTTGGACGACGAACACGACGACAATCGCAGGCTACGACCGCGCCTCCTCGACGTCGACGGCAGTGGCGCCTCCTCGTCCACCTCTTCCTCACCCGCTGGCTTGAAGCATGCAAAGCAGCCCACCATGATCATCTATCCCCTCCGCTCCGACTCCGATCGATGACGCATGCAGCAAATTAATTAATCAAAGAGCGAGCAGGCCCATGAATAATCCATATGCAACAACTAACACATCGACGCAAGATCAGAGAGGACAGGAGCAACGACCGGCGTATAGCGATTTGCATTGACCGGCGCACACGCATGCATGCATGTGTTTTTGTGACGACAACAGATTAATTGACGGACAAAATTAAGCAGCTTACCATGATCTCTTGTTTATTGGCATAGCAGTGCGAAACCAAAATTAGTAACCCCCCCTATATACCAGTGGTCAATATAGAGTACCTCCACCCTGCACCCCCCTGAATGCTTTTGTGTGCCTCCGCCCCAAACTAAATCAACTTTTAGACTTGTCTCAAGTCAAACTATTTTAAATTAGCTAAGTTTTATAAAAAAAACAATATTTTTGACAGATTTTTACAATAAAAATCTGTCAAATTTTAGACCAATGAAAAGTTGACACATCAGCCATGGAAAAACTGACCGATGCTAGAAGAAAAAATCTGTCAGATTTTTATTACGCATGACAATATCCAACAAAGATCCACAACCCATTAACAAATACAGCTGAGTTGATGCGCGCCTGCTGCTCACTGCTTTTGCTGCTGCTGCTCACTGTGCTGCTCATTGCTTCTGCTGCTGCTGCTCACGGCGCTGTGCTCACTGCCCCTCACTGCTTTTGCTGCTGCTGCTCCCTGCGCTGTGCTCACTAGCAAACACAGTGGATGCAAAAACCTTGTAATTATTTGGCTTGGTGAAGAATTGCATAGTTGATTTTAGACCAAATTGTCAAACCCAAACCTGACAGGAAAAGAATCTGAAATGGCATCAAGAGAAAAAAGGTGAACCATACGCACAATAAGTTAACTTAGATCCTCAAAAGATTCAAAAGCAAATTACAAAATAGAAGTTCACTTACATTGCCCATTGCAATGAGCCCCTTGTCAAAAGAAGAAAACGATTCCCAGAAAGGAGAAGAATATTCCAAAGCCTGTTAGGCCAAGCCCAATCTCTGTCTAAGATGAAATTCAGACGTCACAGATCAATGAGTTGGAAAAGATTTTACAACATCACGAATATGCTTTTACAACATCGCACAAAAGATTTTGCAAAGCCAGAATTTTTCATCACACTTCGAACATTTAACATGATCTTTTTAATACAGCCAAAACACTAAAAAGGTGGTATTTTAGGCTTGATGATTCTACCAAGATTCATTGAAAATTTGCATCAGAACCCAGACAGAACAAAAAAGATTTCAAAGTGGTTGAGCATCTGTTCCTTACAGTGGTCAATCAGAAACTAGCATAGACCTTGCAGCAGCAGCATATCTAATGCTGGTTTCAACTAAATCCAAGCATCTTTCAGAGATTTAGCGGTCAGCCAGCAGCTCAGCACTGCAGTTAGTATTTGTGTAGTATGGTAATTGTGTAAGCCTAACCAGCAGAAGATCTTAAACTTTAATCTTTGCTTTGCCTAAAAGCTTTATCCAGTTGAACAAACTCAGTTGAGATTAGCCACAGTAACAAACTGCTATGATATCACACATGCTATCTAGGATGAACAGACCCCTATACTTGTTCTTCCAATAACACCCCCAACCCACCGTTGTGAATGAAAAAAAACAGAATTAGCAATTTGTTATCTCTCTTGCATTGTACACATTTATAACACTAAAACTACCGATCAAGTGGTATTGGCACATTGTAGACCACACAGGCGCATAGTGCATGATACATCTGCATTTCACCATGCATAAAATAATTAACTAGAACAAGTAACCAAATGCATAAATGCAACTGGAAAAATTAACTGCAAAAGATGCCCTAAAACAAGTCAACTAGACAAGAAGGCAAACAAACCTCGATTGCTGCTAGCATGGATTGCTGAGACTCAAATTTGACAAAGCCAAAGCAAAACTGATCAGGCTGCAACAACATCAAGAAAAAGTGTCAATAAGGAAAGTTTAGAAACTGATCAGGCCGTGAGTTCAGCAAGTTTGGTTTATGGATTCTTTTGCACATAATTAGTATAAACATGATGAATGGGGACCAAAAATTCAAAGAATTGCCTAATGATTCATCAACCCCTCAAAACCAATCACCCCATGAACCTACAACTTAAACTAACCTGGCATTTGACTAGTATACCACCAGATTTAATAGCACCAAACTTGTTGAACTCCTGTTCAACCATTTTAAACAGTTGCTTCAAAAGAAAAAATTTTAACAAAAATTGAGTACCCCTGACTCTACAAAACAAGGTGTTACAATTCAGAATAAACCCTATTCTTTTCTTCGACCCATTCAGTTATGATCACAAAATAGGTATCCTTCAAAATATGCCTTGTATGCCCCGTACTAAGACTAACTAGTATGCTGGAAGAAAATCCTGAGTGCAATTTTGACCTGCTTACTGACGACAATGGTCAGCTCATCTCTATCTTCATGAGGATTCTCAGTGGCTTATTCATGAACTTGTGGGTAATCTCAAGGGCCTCAGGAGGCATGGTAGTAGAGAAAAAGACTCCAACCTGAATCTTGGCTGGGGTAAGCTGGAAGATATCGTGCATCTGCATTTCACCAAAGCATAAATCAATCAAACGAAGACACAAACACAGAAACACACAGAGAGAGATATACAGAAAAAAAACATCAGCCCCAAAACACATGCACTCACACACAGAGACGCACTCACACTGTCACCAAAACTAGCAAACACCCGCGCACACACAGAACACACACACACAGAGACACACACACAAACAGAAGGGGGGAGAGAGAGACAGGCACACACACAGAGACTAGGCAAATGTAGAAAAAAGCAACACAATAACAAAGATACCCGGAACAAAGAAGCATGACAGAATACTCGAAAAAATTCTAACAAATCTCATACAAATAAAAAAAGACACATTGAGCCAAAAATAACAAGGATGAGCATCCTTAAATCCAGCATTATACATTCCAAAAACAACTACACAAAATCAAATGCTCCCTGACCTAAAAACATCCAAAAACTAAAAAAAATCAAAACAACAACCTGCAACTACAAATACAATGACAAATATGACAACCTGCAGGCCATCTATTATATCAACACATCAACCTGAAGACTACCTACAGGCCATTCTCAGGTACAGATCAAATCCACATGAAAGCAGAGGCATAATCAACTTTAAACATCAAAAATACACAAATCCCCAAAATCAAATGGAGAATCTGAACAACAACTAACATAAAAGAACTTAAACAAATAAACACAATCATTAACTCGTGCACACACACACACTCACACTCTATTTCCAGTAGCAGCAACAAGCACACACACAGACACACTCACACTCAGAATCACACTCACACAGAGAGAGAACAAATACACACCCACACACAAAGACACACCTAGACACACACACACACACACCAAAATAAAGACATCAGCAGCTCCAAAAAACAGAAAAAGGCAGACAAAACCCACAGCAATACAAACATACAAAGAAAAAGACACACGCACCAAAGCTCTGAAAAAAAATCAGCTAGCAAACACGGCAAAGCTAACAAAAAGCCTCTGAACAAAAAAACTAAAAAAATCAACTCAACAGAAAAGTAAAATATAAGAAAAAAAACCCCCAAAGATCAGCTAAAAATATAAAAGACAACTAACTAAAATATACTAGACAAAACTCTGAAAATTACAGCTAAAGGCAAAAGAAAAAGAAATCCACAAATCAACAAATCTAAAACTTAACAAATCAACTCTAAGCAACAGCGGAGATCCCCAAAAAAAGGAGTAGCTGTCAAAAACAATGCACACAAAGAGAAAAACAGAGAGACAGACACAGAGAGATAGACATAACTCAAAAATATATAGCTTATTGATGAATCTAGAATTATTTCCTCTAAAATCAGAAGTAAAATAGACAAAAGGATGCAGTTCTGATGCAGCTATGATCAAGGACAGTTAGCTGTCTTCAATGATCACAATGATGAAGTTCTGGAGGCAAGGTTCAACTTTTAGGAACTCATATTTATATTGAAGATGCAGTGCAGATTATAAAGAAAAATATAGAGTTGCAGTCATGTTCTGAGAATGCACATACAGGTTGAAGGAGATATATCCACTGCCCCCACCAATTGGGTAGATAAAAGCTAAGTACCAATACATCGTAATGGCAGATAAGTTAAGTGGCTCCATACATGTAGATCAAAAAAGAAAACAGGAAGCATAGATAAAAGCTCACGTTATGCAGTTTTCTGAAAAAACGGGCAACAGATAAGAGGAAACAGGCAACAGGCAACCCCGCCCCATCTCCTTCGTCATGCGTACAAAGACATCCCCACATCACCCCTCCTCCACCTCGTCTGACATCATCTCCGTCTACCATGGCCGCGAAGAAAGCGATGGCAATCAATGAAAATCCAACACACAAAAAGAAAAAATCTCCAATGAGACGACGCCCGACCAGGTGAGGCCAAAGCAAGCTGATTCCATCCTCCATGGACTCAAACCAAAAATACAACAAATCCTAGAACCTATAAAATCTTCACAAATAGGTTCATAGGGTAGGTGTGGAGAAGTGATATGCATACAGACTACAGTCACCATTTAGAAATCAAATATGCAGATTAGTTAGCACAGAGATCAACTGATAGCAGCTTGATACTAATCAAACTTCAGCCACTCAGCATCAACTAAAAGTAACTTAAAAACAACTAAAGGATTACACATACAAACACTGCATCAAAAGTAGGAGAATAGATAGTATACACAATGTTTTAAAGACATCAAACTAATCAGATTATTATAACAGATAACATCGGCTATCTAGAGAATTGGACAGAACTAAAACACTAAACACTATATATTGATCAAACATGACACACATATATGATAGTAAGAAAAGGTCCAAACATGTAAGGCTGTAACAGCTAGCAAGCTTATGCAAATTTTGCTAGTATATGATA